ATCTAATTGCATCATTAAAAGGGTATCTATTGAATGTTTTAAAAGTCCCTAAGAACATTCTTAGCAATAAGGGAAGGTTCTAAGAATATTCCATTATTCCGGGTCCTATCTTCTTAGATCCTAGATTCTTAAAATCAAATTTTGCTATCATGATATTATGCATAATGATGAATAATAACAAAGAACTTTAGGCATCTCGCATAATGCTTAGTTATTATACATAATGACTGATTTCGGATAACATATATACATTTTTTTTGTGCATCTACGCAAACCGGAGGGCTTAGTGGCGCTGCCTCCGATAGTGTGGGACTCCATGGTAGATAATACCCACTAAAAACTCTTTCTTCGTGATGGATCCAATCAGGAACTGCCTCTCGGCATTACCTCTACTTGCCATCTCGCTTGGGACATATACATATGTATACGGGACAAAATCTCGTTTAGAGTAATACATGAATAAATAAAAAGGTAAAGCCGGACTCCACAGGACGATTAAATATTACATAACAGGCATTGTATATTGAGACACTCGCAACTTTATCCGCTGCTCTTCCACCTCCTTTTCGTTCTCTGTTTTCATTATTTGGCATACCACGCTGGTGATCTTGTCCCAGTTTGATATGCTTTCAACTATTTCCAGGGTTAATCGCCCAGAGGTTAGTGGTTGATCGTTTGGCGTCAGTTCCACTTCGTGGGTTTGAAAGATCGCCCTCATGAGAATGCATTCTCCCATCTTGAGCAGAAGAAGATGGTATTTTCGGGGTCATCCCTCTATCCGCAATGTAAAATTGTTCCTACACTCTGTTTAAAATCTGTCTAAAATCATCTAAATTAGCATGTTGTGTTTTAAACACCCCGTTTTTAGATGTCCCCATAGGAAAAGGTTTAAAGATGTTTGATCTGGTGATCTTACTGGTCATTCTATGAAACGGTGCTCCACCCCACTATACTTTTCCTGTACAAAAATATTTAAATATCACCTTTCCACACAGGTGGATTGGAAGAAGATATTTTAAAGAATGGCCATCAAGATCCCCAGATCTAACACCAAAATGGGGACATCTAAAAAACAGTGTGTTTAAAACGCAACCTGCTAATTTAGGATGATTTAAAAAAAACAGAATAACTGCAGAAATTACAAACATAACTGGAGATTTTAAACAGATTGCGGGAACAATTTCACAGTCAGCAAGTGAATGGGAACATTTATAAGATAAAAGAACAGTTTATTTTTTATTTTGTTAAATTTTTAATTTTAAAATAAAAAGTTTAGTTTTTTAATTTGTCATTACATTTCCAACCTAAATTGAAAACTAGACTCTATAGAGTATAAGTTTCGATAGAAAAGTGGGGTTGTTATTTAAGATAAATGTGCATAATGTGGTCATGGGAAAATGGAGGGGGCAATCAGTTTAAAATTATAATTTTAAGATTTTAAATGAAAAACTACCTATTATTTTCGTGCCCGAGCATTTTTTATAAAAAAACTTTTCCCATCGAATAACAAATTTTATTCCATAAAGATTTAGATAAAAGGAATCATATTTTGCTTAGCAATCAAAGTATACCAATGATTTCTGGATTTCAAACCCATAATAAACATTTATCCTTTAATAAAATTCTACGAAACGCCACTGGTTCAACAGTTGATTTGATTAAGATGATTTCCAGTGTTGACGTAACGGACAAGTTATAGAAATCCCACTATACGTTTTGGTAGGCTCGTAGCCTGACGAGTGATCTACCCAAAAACCAATCGTACTACTCTTCTCTATCCTTTACCTTCCCTCCTAGCTTTCCAAACCTTTCGGATTTTCTTACGAAGGCCTTTTGCCAGGCGAGAGAGGCCAACACCTCCCTAAGGATTGTATTCACTCCAAAGTTTTTATGTCTGAGTCTCCGGAGCGCCTCATATTGTCCCAGGAAGTGATAGGAGGTTGGTTCCTCTTTCCCGCGTTTTGGACATAGGGGGCCCGAAAGATCCCTGACGGACCACATGTTGTGAACGGTCCTTGCCAGTTCGGGACGTAAGTCTTTGACCTTCCCCGACAGTGTTCACTGGTGACGTCAGCTTTATGTGGTTTGGCACGGTCGGAATGGACGTGGGGAAATCCCAGGCGGCGGAGCAGCCTGGAGCTGACGGAGCTACAGCTGGGATGGGGCGGCCCGGAGCTAGCAGGTCACCGCCGCGGAGCATTCCGGACACCTGTCCACACGCTGCGTGGGCTGTGGTGACCCTGTCGGCGAAGTGGCTCGGTTCAGCAGTCGGAGCTTCGACCTGTTTCAAAGGGAGATCCCCGGAGACCTCGGGTCCTGGAGTATGAGTATGAGTATTAGGGTGGAGTGAATTTTTTTAAATTTATTAACTGATTTTTCCTATATTATTAATTGTTGACTAAAGGCGTAAAATGAATAAATATTGAAAAAATATTCCAATTTTTTAATATCTTGAGGTGGCGCATCTGTCTCGAAGTTTTGAAAATTCTAAAAAAATATTACTTTAATTAAAGTAATAAAAATAGCATTATTTATAAATAAAAAGTTTATTTTAGTAAAATTAACGTGAAACGTAAACATATTTAATAGTAAATCATATGCTTTAAGTAACTTCAGGAGTGTTTATTGGTATAAATGAGATCTTCTTTTTCGCGAAAATACTGACATTTGGTATCAAAATTTGGTAATTATTTTCTGACTTTAATTCTTGTTCTGATGAAACCATTTCTTGCTTCCGATCCGAGTCTGAAGATTCAGTATACTGGTTATAACCAGTTTTACACAGCGTTCCACTGCTTGGGTGTGACACTGAAATTTTTGGAAGTATAGGAAATGGTCACCCGAAGAAATCATATCGGTAATTTCTGTCATCGTATTTCATAGTCATAGGTGGTTCAGTCACCTTTTCTGTCGCCCAGTGAATTAACTGGTACAAACGTAATGCTTCAGTATTTAGTTGTGGAAGCTTTAATTCCCGTAATCTCGAACATTTTGATTCTTTTCTCGCCTTTAATATTTTCGGCAATGCTAGTTCTCTGATCGATAGATATATTGTAGGTAACATAGCAAGTAATAGGTTTTCGGGATAAATATTTCGCTGAATATTCTTTATAACTATAGTTATAAGGCCTTCAAGTTTTTCTGGAGGTGTAATGCTCTTTTAGTCATATTAAATATGTGAATAGGACCATGTTTGCACGTAGGCTTGGTGTTGATGTAAAACCACGTTGGGGCATACACATTCATGATAAAAGTAGCCAATTCTTTTAGGTTTCCCGATGGATTTGCTGTCCCCCCATATAAACGAATAATCCTATTAGCCCACGTCAGCCATAGGGAATGTGCTAGCTTGCCTGGATCTTTGTAAGCTATAGCTAATATTTATCCCGAAAACCTATTACTAGCTATGTTACCTACAATATATCTATCGATCAGAGAACTAGCATTGCCGAAAATATTAAAGGCGAGAAAAGAATCAAAATGTTCGAGATTACGGGAATTAAAGCTTCCACAACTAAATACTGAAGCATTACATTTTTACGAGTTAATTCACTGGGCGACAGAAAAGGTAACTGAACCACCTATGACTATGAAATACGATGACAGAAATTACCGATATGATTTCTTCGGGTTACCATTTCCTATACTTCCAAAAATTTCCGTGTCACACCCAAGCAGTGGAACGCTGTGTAAAACTGGTTATAACCAGTATACTGAATCTTCAGACTCGGTTTGTGGATCGAAAGCAAGAGATGGTTTCATCAGAACAAGAATTAAAGTCAGAAAATAATTACCAAATTTTTATACCAAATGTCAGTATTTTCGCGAAAAAGAAGATCTCATTTTTACCAATAAACACTCCTGAAGTTACTTAAAGCATATGATTTACTATTAAATATGTTTACGTTTCACGTTAATTTTACTAAAATAAATTTTTTATTTATAAATAATGCTATTTTTATTACTTTGATTAAAGTAATATTTTTTTAGAATTTTCAAAACTTCGAGACTGATGCGCCACCTCAAGATATTAAAAAATTGGAATATTTTTTCAATATTTATTCATTTTACGCCTTTAGTCAACAATTAATAATATAGGAAAAATCAATTAATAAATTTAATAAAATTCACTCCACCCTAATGAGTATACATTGTATAGGCTAAGTCAATTTTGCTTGTTCATTATATTCCTTTTTGTTATCTTGCATTTTGCATTTTTTAACATGTTTACTTAAAATTGGGATGTTATTTTTAAAATCGTAATACTAATGTATGCCTATTTAAGAACATAGAATTGAATGTATTATTATTATATGTATTATTTTTTAATAATATAGTTGTTTATAGCAATGCTAAATATTATTAAAGTATATTCCCCTATAGGGAAACAATATATTGTTCAGTTCTTTTAATTTTTATTATCTCATGAATTTATCAAGTTGTAAATACTGTATAGAAATGTCACAGGTAGATTTTATATCATTTAATAATACAATTTAAATGTTTATTTTTTATAATTATTAAAAATCTGGCCCTGAATTCGTCTTGTTACTTTTTATATTTATTTTAGGCTTCCAACAACTGTGTTGAATTTCAAAATATTCTCCGACCTCAATTTTTAATAATAATTTGAAACACTAATTAAAAACAGGAAAAATAGCATTGTGATCATTGCTTTATCTTAACAATTTAAAACAAATCTTATGTGCATTCACGTTAGCATATCTGGCAATTAGAAACAATAAGGAGGTCACTCTTAACCCATATGAATAATACTAGACAGCATATAGGAGTGAATCAACCTAATTAAGGATATAGGGTCAGTTGAAATAATCAAATATTAATGTAAAAAATTAACATTTAATTAGCTGCCCACATTGTTCTAAACAAGTAATAAAAATGTTGTAGTTATGTTAAGAGTTTTAATGAAAAACCATCAAATATCCGCTGTCTATCCAATAAGCCATAATTAGGTTGAGTATAGTACAAATGCGCTTTAAATCAAATAAAAAACTGATGTCAATAGAATTAGGAAAATGATAATCCTGTTACGGGAAGCCCCAGTCCTCGATGGAAGGTTTCACTAGACCGAGCGATTGTGTATGTTTAGTTTAGTTTTTCCGACATGGGGACTTGTTCATAAGTTTGTTGGTACAATCATGATAAGTTGATTAATCGTCTATGAAAATATTGGCTGAATTAAACTGAAAAATGGTAAGTGACATTTCTTATAATGCACAGTGATTCACATTGCAATTATAGCTAGACAAAAGTCATTAAAAAAAAATATGTTCAATATTCATTTACTTATGTTCATATTTGTTATTTTCTTATAAATTCCATATTATATTATTTTGAAGAACATGTAATACCTAAGACCGAATTGCTAGCGTACTCGATACTATCGAGAATTTATACTTTCTATAAGTATACTTATGATATATCAATGTATTGGTACCATGTATTTTGCACAGATTATGCTGCCTAAAATCAATAAATATTATTTAGTTTAGTAAAAACAGATTGCCATAACACCGGCACACAAAACAATTAAATTTTGAGTGCGACGTGTAAAATTCTATTCGTTGTGATGATTATAAGGGCCAGAGGGATGGGTCTTTATTCAATTTTTTTTCTATAAAATTATAGACTTTATAAAAAGGACTTACGCAAAACAAAAACGTTTATTGTTTTGACAAAGAAAAAATCATGGTAACGGAGGCAATATCATAAATAAATCCAATGAATAAAACTTTCCTGTGCTTGTTGGTAATAAATAAATATAGATAAATAAATAAATTAACAAATAATGTCATATAATAATATTATAATAAACTAGTCATGACAAAATAGGGACCACTTAATTAAATGGGCATAATTTTTAACAAAACACACAATTAAAAAAAACATATAAAAATCACTTAATTTTACAGAAAAATAAAAAATTGGGACTATTGGCTGGCCACTTCATAACACTTGTTAAAAACTAAAACTATTTATACAACATGCGGCCTAGCATTCTCTTGCTGTTGTAAAATTTTTTGACCTACTTCATTTTCAAAAGGTAGCACAATAGGTCCTAAAATGTTGTGTGCAAGTCAGCACAGCCATTTAAACTTATACCACGCCAAATCATTATCGACGAACCTCCATAAGCTCGCACTTCCCTAACCGGGGAGTCCAGAAAACGTTCTCCTTGACGTCTATATACCTACTCGTTGACGCTCATCGTGCCAATTTAGTCAAAATCTAGACTCGCCTTTATAGAATTCCCTAATCCAATTTGCATGTTCTTGTGCGAAATTTCTTTTGTCTCTGCGATATCGAGGAATCAAATAAGGCTCAACAGCAGCACTCATTAAATGTACATTTGCATCGTGAAGCCTAATTAACACATGTATAGGTAGATATTTGCCTATCAGTTGCTTCAAAATGGACATTTCGTAGTTGAGAAGCAGTTCTGGTTCTTTATTCAAGGGACAAAATGGACATTTCGCAGTTGAGAAGCAGTTCTTTTTTTAAGTTCTTTTTTTAAGGGCCAAACGCACGATTTATAGAGCCTTCTGACAATCATACCAACTTCTTGGTGATGGTTTTAAACGCGAAGGATGGTTAAAGGGGCTGTATTAAGTATTTTTGCCACATATCTTTCCGAACGCCCTTCTTGTAAAAGACTAATTGCTCCATCCATTTTAACTTGGTTAAGATGTCTTCTTGGGTCGACGGCTCTTCCAAGAATATCGTTATTCATTTTTAAATACGATTTTACAACTGTTACGCTAAAAAGTTAAACTATACTGACGAATTTTTGGTATTTAAAACAATTTAATTTTTTTACATACTTATTTGCACAAACAATGATAAAATAAATAAATTGTTTAATTTACATACTACATGCAAAGATTGTGAAAGATAGAGAATTTTTAATAAGTGCTCCCTAATTCGTTGTGATTAGTTTATAATATTATAATTTTATTTTAATTTTAGTTTATTTTATTATGTTAATGTGCTCCCAACCGGCACCTAGCCTAATTACATAAGTACACACAGACAAACACAAATAAACAGCATATTTTATATTGGCTCGGGTTGGCTTTAAGTGTAGCTCTTGTAGGCTGTCAATGTTTAACATTTTTGTTTCCTGTATTCGCGCTTAGCGCTTATGGAGAAGTTTTGATTTGTGCCTTGAAGGATTGTGATTACAATGCCTTATGACCTTTCTTAACACTAGTAGTCCGCAGTGCTGACTACTACACAACGGATGGAGGTCACCTCTCGAGATAGGACTGCTTAAGATACATCAGAACGAATAGAATCTCATACTTATGTGAAAGTCTTCGCACTCAATTTTTTTTGGAATGCTTTCAGATCTTAAGATTTAAAAAAAAATCGTCAATTTCCGAAAATTAGTACCTAGTTAAAGACCGTTGAACATTTTATTCTTTTAGTCAACTCAATATTTTGATGCTGCTAAAGTAAACTTGAATAATACTTACACAAATTTAAATTGGTATCACCATGTTTGCTGATTTTGTAAAATTTTGCTTTTTGTTCGTAAATTTTGTAAATTCAGACTAATGATTTTGCATTTTCGAGTAATTCCCTCGTCATTCGAATTACATATTGTTAGCAGGAAAAGTATTTCGATTTTCGTTAAATAGAGACTAACTTTTAAAAACAGATACATTTGATGGATTTTGTAAAATTGATTATTCTTTTCCTCGGGCGAAATATGCTACAGCTACCTGACATTTTAAGATTCAAAAATCGGCAAAATCTTTTGAAAAATTCGGAATTTTAGTGAACCTTCGCTACGACCCTGTGTACAATTTACACATACTTTTACAAAGGAAGTATGTGACAATATAATATGTGTAAATCATCTATCGCAAAATCGGCAAGAACTTTTTAGAGTAATAACATAAATTTGTACTATTGTCTAGCTAAAACTTCAATCTGAATAACTGCAAGGCAAGGGTAAGCCAAATATTCTTTATTTAACTTTTTAAACTATTTAAAATCCTCTTTAGGCTTACCATATTTGGAAAATATAATTATTCTTTAATTTTTTTATTGTGAAATGGTTTTTGCATAGATTTGTTAAAAAGGCAATGTTTTGCATATTGCTAGCTAATTCTTCTAAGGACCAATATTAGATCGACTGGGACAATTCCGAATGAACCTCAAAATATGGTAAGCCCTATTGATGTGATGTGATTAACAATTGAAAATAAACATTTATATAATTTATAACAGTTTATAACAGTTACTTATAGAATTTTAATAAAGGGTGAATCAATAGAAACGCCGGATTTGATGTTAATTAAATACACATCTTCTGACTATGCATGAAACAAAATATACGACAAATCCCGACCACGACTTTGCTGGCAAACCCTCCTTCTTTTAATGATTTTTTATAACATCCTGGCATACAAGCTGCTGAATTTCGCTAATAATGCGTAGAATATCCCCTGTAAGTTGACGAATTGTTGCTGATTTGTTGACCCAAAATCTGCAATTTTGTTTGTTGACATAGCCACTGAAATTAAAGTGCGCTTCATTGCTAATTCAACATCTTGTTGCCTTACCAGAATCCAATAAACAAATTCCCGGAGCATTGTATGAACTACTGGGATTAGCTTATGTGTTAATTGAATTTTGTATGGATGCAAATGAAGATCTTTTGTTAAAATTTGCTGTAAACTACAAAATAGCCATTTGTTGGAAACGATGACGAAGCAAGGTTCCAGGTAACTCTTTTCCGTACTGCTGCAATATTTTCATCAGATCGGCTCAGTACGACGACCCACAGGTATTTTTATGTCCCAGCCGAACCACTTTCCTCAAATTTTAACCTTCACATTGTCGTTTCATTAGGAGCATTAGCACGACCTAAAATTGGACTAATTTTTGAAGGGTTTCTGCACATCATTCTCCATATTTATAATAAGTCTTAAGAAGAGTAACACGTTGTTCTACAGAATGTTTTTTAAACTACAGAAATTATATTTTCAAGGTTGCACTTTGCAAAAAATAGAAACATGGCAAAATTTAAATCCGGCGTTCGTATTGAGACATCCTTTACGATAATATTTTATCTGTAGTTATTTGTTGAGTTAATTATAGCAAAAGGGGGTTGATTACCTATTGTTATGATTTGTGAGGAGGAGAGAGGAAGGGGTCTAAACAAACGTGGCGAAACGAAATTCATCAATATAATTCACATTTTTCATAGTATATTAAACAACCACTTTTATAAACGTAATTTAATATACGAGTTTAATTATGCACGAGCGGAGCTTGTGGAGCGAGTTTTTATTAAATGATTTACAGTGATTTTGAGAAGTTTTTAAAATGGAGGATTTGCCCGAAAACCTGGCCAAAAGTCAATTGAATTGACCTGCTAAATTGTATATAAAGGTTTTCGTGGGTGCTGATTACGATTTTAAATTTTTATGCAATAAAAAATAAAAGGGTATTAGGATTCGCTGAAAAAATATTCAATTTCGTAGGTATATAAAATGCGATTTTTTGGGGAGGTTATGTCGGGAACCAATCGTAAAAAGTAGGTACTTACAAGTTAGATTCGGTTTCAGCTGCTTAAAATACATGGAAATACATGCAGGGGCGCCGGAATATTTTGAAAGCGTGTGTCGAGTAAGTCTAGTCATAGTTTAGGAGGCATTCAAGTATTACCTAAGCAGGATAAGGGGTGGGGGTTTAGTTTTTGTTTACTTTTGCTGAAAAAGGGAAGGCGATTTTCTTATTTTTGCATTTACAGGGGTGTGGGGTCTAAAAATCATGTAAAGTGTGCTTTCGTAATACGTAAACGCTCCTTTAGGGGGACCTTCGAAAAGTAAGTTATTTCAAGCAATGGCAATAAATTACAGTGGTGTTTAGTGTACTTAAAATAAAATCATTATTACCTACAATATTTTTATTCCGAAAAGGTTTTACAAAAGATCTTTTGATAAAGCAAACACTTTGGTTCGTTTCGCATTTCTATATATAAATTCGTCCATCAGATTTTCAAAATTTTGTTTGCCAACTCGTGGTAAATATGAAATAATGCAACATTATTCAAACGTTTTTGTCCCATCTTGTTTCGCATGTACGATTTTAATCCTTTAAGGGTTGAAAAACTCCTCTCGTTTGACCAAGAAGCAGAAATCGTAATGAGTAATCGAACAAATTGTAAAAATTTAGAAAAAAGGCCCTTAGCCCATGTATTTTTTCGTAAAATATCCACGACCTCTCCAAAATTCTTTAATTCAAATTTACTTCTGCGAGCCAAATCGAGAAAAATTTCTCTATCGCTAACTAATTCTTTATAAAAAATCGCTAACTAATTCTTTATAAAGAATGTTTATTAAAACCATTTTTATAGAATAGGATAATTTCATCTACATGGCTAATTTCATCTAGCTCAGAGATCAAAATAAAAAATTCGCTGAAGTTCCAAAGCGGCATTTCAATGATGAAAGAATTTGATCGTAAACTTCATAATACATTTTTATATAAATATCTTCGGCAGTCTGAATAACATTATTTTTTGATTCAGAGTTTCGAAATTATTTTACGTCGTGGCAATTCGGCTTCTATCACTTTTAATTTTTTTAAACTTTCATTAGCTTAAATCCAAATTTGTTGAAATTTCTCGTTCCGAGATAAATTTAGTGAGTATGATACAGCATCAACTATTTGAAAAGAGTCAATCACATTTAGTTAAGAATTTTGCAAAGGTTTTTAATCTTGTGAAAAATTTCTATAATCATTGTCAACATAAATAAAAATTTAAAATTTTCCATGTGCTTAAAAATCCACTTGATTTTGGTCGTAGAACGATTTTCGATTGTTTTATCAAGAGTATAGGGTCTCTTAAACATTATCATTAGCCAAATGAGCATATATATATATATTGTTGAGTTGGGTTGGGTTGAGTGAAATTTAAAATTTTGATTGTCGAATTTCATGTGTTAAATTCCACACATAGAAGTTTCACGTGTTTTGAGCTCCAAACACACGCAACAGGCCTTCCGGCGCCCCTGAATACATGGGTCTCGTAAAAACTTCTTGACCTTATTGTTATCAACTAAAATTAACACAAATTTTAGGCTCAGATATATCACTTTATTTTAAACTTGACAGCGTAATCTGATTCTAATGAATTTGTAACTTTATAACTTAATTAAATTAATTATAAATAAAATTTTAACTTATATATTAGTTTTATTCACACGTACTTAAACTAAAAATAAACATTTAAAATGCTTAGATACATACTCCCTGGTTCACAATCCATATTAAAAGTTTAAATACTTTAAAAGCACGACACTTTGTTGTTTAAAAACACAATTTTATTTTGTGATTAATTGTTGTTAAGAAGAAGAAATGGGTAGTTTAAACTAAAATATTATATAATAAACTGAAGTAAAAAACCGATCAGATTAAAAAATTAAATCAAGTGGCTGTCATGGCTGACTTCGTATTATTGGGGTTTTAAATTCGAATATTTAAAAAACCGCCTGTGTGGGACGGGACACACCACAAAACTGTTTTTTTTAATTGTAAGTTATCTATTATATATTATTTTGGCATCAAAATTGTCAAAAATATTTGACTTTTATTAGCCTCTTAAATGTTTATATTTAATATAAAAAAACCCTCACCAAATATGGGCGTTCCAGCTCAACACTAAGAGGTCGCTGTTTTTATTTTAGTTTTCCATTTAATTAACATGAGAAAAAAAAATTTTATGTTTGAAATTTTATAACTCTGTATCAAAGTAACTTATGGCAATGACCATTGCAGTTTCTTATATAAAATGTAACGCTGTACAAAAAAGGTCTCTTATTATTTTTCGATAAATTGATTTCTTCTAGAGTTATTCGAGGTCAAAGTTTGATTAACATCAAATTTTCTATTTTTTTTAAATTTTATGGTACAATTAGCAGACGGGAGGTGAAAGGGGGCGAAACAATGCAGCGGGGGGGGCAAAATGGGTACCCCATTTTTTTTTATTAGATTGTTTTTTTCGGTAAAAATTGGCTCACAAGTTCACGCTTTTAATCTAAAATAATTATTCTGAGACTTTAGAGAAAAAGGATGGTACAATTTTGGAAAACTTTTCATATGCTCATTTTTTGGGTACCCCATTTTGCCCCCCCCCCCGCTGCCTTGTTTTGCCCCCTTTCACCTCCTGTCTGCTACCATAAAATTAAAAAAAAAATAGAAAATTTGATGTTATCAAACTTTGACCTCGAATAACTCTGGAAGAAATCAATTTATCGAAAAATAAAAAGAGACCTTCTATGTAGAGCGTTACATTTTATATAAGAAACTGCAATGATCATTGCCATAAGTTACTTTGATACAGAGGTATAAAATTACAAACATAAAATTATTTTTTCCCATGTTAATTAAATGGGAAACTAAAATAAAAACAGCGACCTCTTAGAGTTCAGCTGAGACGCCCATATTTGGTGAAACATTTGAGAGGGTGAGAGCGAAAAAAAAAAAAATTTTATTTTTCGAAGCTCCCTAGGCTTTATATTAAATAAAAAAACGTAACTTTTTGTGGACAGGACAAAAAAATATTTATTTTGTCCCGTCCACAACTGTTTCGTTCTTTGAGCCTAACTAACCTGTACGCATACGATTTTCTTAAAAATTTAAGTTTAAAAGGGCCCTAAAACTCAAAGTAGCCAAGATCCTTATTTTAAAAAACGTATCTGCATACCTATACGTTGTTTTTATTAGGATTTCGATCTTAACTTACCTAGAAACCCTGGAAAACGTGTAGATGCAGTACAACTTTTTCATTTTCTTTTTAAGAGTTTATCCAAAATGTACAAACACGTTAATATCTCGATCAGTAATTATCAGTAATTATGATTACTGATCGAGATATTAAAAAATAATTATTTTTTTTATAAAAATTTGTAGATTTCTTGAGGCAAATACAAAGATAATAATAATTATCTTTGGCTATAAACATTAAATTTCCATAAAAAATGAATATACCCATTTTCTTTATAAGGACGGCAGTATAGTGACTAGATTAAAAAAATATATTTATCCATTTTTACCCATTATTTATTTATCATCTAATGTTCTCTAATCTATTTTAATATTATTTTTAGGAGATACTAAACTTACTGCGTTTTGGCTACGCCATGGTTATTTGTACGTTTCTCCTCATGGTGTGGCTTTCCCTCAGCAGCGCTCTAAGTGTTCGCGAAACAGGGGTAGTACGTTACCCTCCGTGCTATTTTAACCCTCTTTGCAGTTGCTCGAAGGCAGTTCCAGATCTCGGCATCGTTCACTGCCACAATGTCCAACTGCCAAGGATACCGGTCACTGTAAACATCTCCAAGGTGTTCATGCTTCATCTGGAGAATAATGGATTAAGAACAATCGAGCCGTTTTTTCTTCAAAGCACTGGTAAAGTAACCTTGTTCATAATTTTTCTCTAAAAACTAAAATACATAGTTTTTTTTTTAAATTAGCTGTCAAATTTTGGTAAAAAAAGATTCTCGCCATTGGGTCATATTTTTAAGATTTCTTGTGATACGTTTAACTTGCTTGAATAAACTTTTTCATTAGGGTTAGACTTCCTAATTTATATAATATAAACAATCCAATGGTAGGAGAGCCGGGACATACTTTAACTTAGTTCTAAGATAAATGCATAAAACTTATTGTATACTTTATTTACTAGTAAGAAAATTACGACCTGACACTACCAGGATGGCAGGGTTGGCGCGGGTTTATCAATACCCCTTTTTTTAATGTATAATAATGGTCAAAATTAAAATGTTTTTACAAATTATGTAAAAATTTATATAGCGTAGATAAAAATACTTTTACAAGCCTAAAGTTTTAAGGAAGTATTCTTCGAAATGCCTTAATAAAATCTATTTACAGCCGCGCGAGAGATATGCAACCACCCAAACCGCGGTTGGGTAGTTGCAAATACTTGCCAGTTTAATACATTGTTTGGTATATTCAATGTGAGTGCAAGTTAGACAAACTGTAGCGGATGTGGTACCAATTTATTCATGCTGATTTTTTTAGTTGATACTGTGGTTAATCTTCATTTAGCGTCATAACAGTGATGGTCTATGAATTAAAATAATGAGTGCAGTAAAACGAAAATATCAGTGATCCTAACAAATTCAGTCGCATCTGTGGAGAGTACTTTTTTCTGTATTTTGTAAATTCATAGACGTTTAAAATGTATTTTAATATCTTTCCCGAAAATCCTAGAGATTCTTAAACTCCTAATGCTTTGTGTAATTCTTGCAGACGCGATTCAATTATGTGGATGTAAGGCGCAAAATTAATATAACTGTTATATACTAGAAAACACTTATTTAAAATACACTGTAAATGTAAATACACTGATATTTTCGTATCACTGCACTCAAGGACTTTTGATCACCCCCGCAAAATCTGGCGTTACGCTGGTAGGTAGGTATACTTACAGATCACGGGATAAGGAAACACATCACAAGGATAGGAGCCGAAACCGACCTCCTATGTTTGAGATGCAGGAGAGAGGAAGAAATAAGTTTACTATTTACTACTTACTAAATAGTTACTAATAAACACTGTTATAACTTATAACACTAAACGAAAATTGACCACGGTATCCAAGGGTAACTAAAAATTCAACAAAAACAAAACGTAGTTGATCTTACAATAATATGTCAAATGTGACATTTCATTTCATAAATTGCTTTTTTACAAGCCTGTAAAACTTTACAGGTCTTTTATAAAAGCCCGTAAAATATTACAGGTCTGTTGCTATAATGTATTTACTTGGATGCAAAAATGACAAAATTAACCTATAAAATGTCATTTACATACGTTACTTTGTATGGAAAATACTTTTAAGCCTGCTGCACAACAGCCCGGTAACGGAAACGGGAACCTAAACTGTAAAGGTGGGAGAGACTCAGCGAACCCTATCTATCAACAGTGGTTTTTTAGTCTTTACCACCTTTAATGTTAAGATTCCTGTTCCCGTTCCCGTTACCGGGCTATTGTGCAGCGGGCTTTACATTCGTTTCAAAATTTTCTCTCCACATTTTTAGTAATTTATAATTTGTGGGATACAGTTTTCAAAAAAATGTGTTTGATACGTATCCAGTACTGGATTGCGATATTCTTATGCATTGTGTTTTTTTTTGTTGCTATTGTCACGAAAAAAGCTTTCATTTTCGAAAGCTAAAGTGGCATTTCGCAATCTATCATAAAAAAGACTATTTTCGGCAGCATTGTCCGTTTTATTGATAATTATATCAATAAATCATTAATAAAAAGATTATAATGAAGTCGCCTAAGAAATTATGTGTGCACCACTTCTAAACAGTGTTATTTTGTTTTCTTTCTGGCTTCGGCTATCGCCTCGCCAAATCAGACTCTTGGACTTTTTAGCCTTGGTACATAAATAACTATTTTCTAAATCTAAAGTGTATTAAGTTTAAATATATGAATTCTTGTATTTAAAATTTTAAACAACATATTTAACACATTTTTAAACTATATATAGAGACAGTACTTATATGCTTATATGTGAATAAACTGTTTACATAAATTATAGAAACCTTATAAGGTCCTTTAATATACAGTATATGTATAGGTAGGTTATAAAGCTTAAATAGTTAATGCTATTAAAAAAGGTAAAGTCTACTCAAATAAAATATTAAATATTTAAATAATTTTACACGCATGCATGCAGTATTTTAAATAATAAATACCTATATGAAATAAAATGTCAAAATTTAAAACATTTCATAATACAAAATACCAACTAAAACCATATAAAATCTACTAATCTAATTCATTCAAGGAAAGTTTACAATAACCTACCTTACAATTATCAATAAATCGTTAAATTTAAAATTAAATGTAACTTCTTTTTTAGGATTATATAAAATAATAATTACAAAAAACCCATTGACTGTAGTACCGGATGAAGCGTTCTTAGGCTTGGAAAGGTCGCTGTGGGAGTTAGAACTAAGTTACAATAAACTAACAAGCATTCCTAATAGAGCTTTAAGATACTTGCAAAAATTACGTTTATTAGACTTAACTGGTACGTTATTACAAAAAGTGTTTAAAAATTCACTGGAAACTTTAGCTTTAGCTACAAAGTGTCTCGTAGCGCTTGTACAACGTATTGAAATAATAGAAACCTATTATGAAAATGGTTGGTCCATAAAAGCAACTCAAAATTTATAAATTCTTGATTTTTTTTGTATATTTTAATCGTTCTACTGATCTAAAAATCTGTTGATGCTAAATTACATTCAAAAATACCACAATTTGTAATGGGAAGGAATCGCTAATTACCTTTCAACCGAACATTTCCATATTTCTTTTTATGATTTCAACACTTATGGTAAAGTTAATGGTGTAAAGTGACCCATTTTAGGTAACGAAATCAATACAATTTCTCCTGAGAACTGGCGAGGTTTGGAGAATTCCTTAGAAGAACTGATTTTAGCAGACAATTCTATAACGCACTTGCCCATTGATTCGTTTTCCGGTCTACCGATGGTGGATACTATCAATCTAAAGGGAAACAATCTTCGGGAAATCGACCCTTCTGTATTTAGAGATGGAATGGGAAGACTTGCACATTTAATTTTAGCAGACAACCAACTTAGTTCCGTACCCTATCAAGCATTGCAGCCATTGAGAACTTTAAAAACTTTGGATTTAAGTTACAACAGAGTTAATAAAATGGAACCTGTTACTGATACTGGAGCAACTGTAGTGCTAAACTTTCAAATAAATTTGGATGTGTTCAGACTTGATTACAATCAACTCACCATTCTACAACCAGCTAGTTTCGAGTATTTTAGCGTTTTAAACAAAACTTACCTGGATGGAAACCCTTTGAGTTCCATCGAAGAAAATGCGTTCAGAAAAGCTAAAATAAAAGAACTGTACATAAGGTTCTGTGGTTTGACTACCATCAATCCCGCTTCATTTGGTGGGCTGGAAAACTCTTTGGAAATTCTAGATTTATCGGGAAATAATATTGCTCTTTTACCGGAGAATCTTTTACATAGATTTGAGTTCCTTAGAACTTTATCATTGAGAGATAATATAATTTCTAAGCTAAATCCTATTGATGCTTTTAATGCATTTTTGTTTACACTGTATAAATTGGATTTAAGAGGAACGTCTAATGTCGAAATAAAAATTCAAGATTTAAGAAGGTAAGAAAAACATAAACAATAAAATAAATTATACAGATCTATAACATGTAACCAACATTCTCTTCCAGATGGTATTTGATCACGTCAGGTTTTTTAGAAATTCTAAAATAAAAGTAAAAAAAGCGTTTTTTACACCAAAAAATATTTTCCACTCCTATTGCGGAATATGACCGTTCTAATATCACTTTTGATCATTCATCAAAGAATCAATTGATTTTATCACCGGATGATGGATTAAACACTGGTGGCGACATCTCTGTGTTTATTAATTAATTTATTATCTTTTAGACCGATCCAACCTTACTTTCTGCCAATTAAATTATTTTTCTATGGAATTTTTTTAAAACGTGGAAAAAATATAGACTAAAACACATTTGTAATTGCATATTACGCTTTCTTGAAACCTTCAAATTCTCCTTCGGCTCGTGTGATAAACTTTTCACTCGAGCGGAATATGCCGTATTATAGAATAAACTGATTTCAGATAACTCGTTATATTATCTAATAGTACAACTTTTCAAAACCTAAACTTTCCAGTTTTTTCTCCTCCTATCCAAGATATCCCTAACTTATACCTAAATACCAAAACCTAACTTATAAATTTTTAATAACGATTTTTCAAAGATGAAATATTAAAAAAAATAAGAAATGATTTTAAATGGTACTACTTTTAGATGAAATATATTGAAACAAACTAAGTTCTCTCCACTTTTAGGTTAAGATTTCTTGAAAACCTAATGTGATGGAGCAATTCTGAGGTTGAAATCAACAATTGGAAAAATGTTGTTTGTTTTGGGTTTAAAAGTATTACAGATCTGTGTAATGTGTAATTTTAACAATAATAAGTTTACTACCCTATTATAATAATATTTTTTGTTTTTTAGATTGCGTAGTTTAAGAGTACTTTATTTATCAAAACTTGGTGAAGGTAACTTAGATCCGCAAGACTTTCAGGAGTTTGGAATGGATCTTGAAGAACTTTATATAAATTCCGCAAATATTCATACCATAAAACATAACGCATTTAAATACGTTCACGGTTTAAAATTACTGGATTTTTCAGAAAATTCCATTTCAACCATAGAAGAACATGCTTTTAAAGAGGTATATTTATCAATTAATAGTGGTGTTTAAATTTGAGATTAAAATAAAACGCAGTAATTACTTAAATCCTATGGAATTATTAATTCAAAATGTAATACAAACATGGCTTTGGGCCAAAATGTACATTTGATTTTTTTTCTTATAGATTTTGGCATTCTAAACTCAAAAATTGCAATAATTTCTTTCATGAATATATTTTTTATTTTATTTTTTGGAGAAAGCTTTACAATTTAAATCGTATTTAAAGTAAGAAACAATCAATCTTGTTGAAAAAGGTATAAAATTAAACATTATCCACTGATTTATAAATAGGTATCATATCAATTTTCTTAGTTTCTTCAAGAAACTTTCTTAAGAAAGACCAAGTTGCTCGACACTAATGAGACCCAATATAGGTCAAAACAGCTGTCTGTCGGTATTTGAAGTTGGTAGAACGCACTCAAAACAAAAACTCAGGCGAGGTGAAGGTTCAATTCTTTCTTATGAACATTACCAGTAGTGGGTCAAGAAAGTTCCTTGAAGAAACTAAGAAAATTGAATGTTTACCTTAATGTTTAGTCCGGTTGGGCTAATTATAGATTCCTTATTTCCATATTTTGATACAATTTGCTGTGCATTCTTGGTTGCATAGTACTGATTTCGGCAAAGGCCACGTCTTTAGGCGATGTGGATCACGTGATGTTCTTACATTTCGCCTTTGTTAGCTTACTTGAGTAGTATATAAGCTCAGGTAGTGCTTTGTGTTGAGTGTGTTCCACTACACCAAGTTGCCCGACACTGATGAGACCTAATATAGGTAGAAATAGCTTTCTGTCGGTATTTGAAGTTGGATTTTATACAGGTTAAATATATTGTACGTATAGTATAAGGTACCTTTTAAGATTATACTTCTTTGTTACCTTCACTTTTTAATGTAATATATTTTTATATATTTAGTTTATCAATAATTTTGCGATAAGATATACAATAAATTGAACAAATAGCAAAATAAAAGTAAAAATAAAAGCAAATATTGAATACGCGCCACTGCTTTGCCAAACAGTAATAATAATATTAAATACTACAAAATTACGTCAACTGAGCATAGGGCGTTGTCGCCAAGTTATAACGCGCGGACTGTAAATTTGGCACTTACCATTTTATTTCGTGCTGGTACTCCAATCTTCTTCCTTTGTCGTTAAGTCGCCTACTGAGTTATCTTATACAACACAATAACAGAAACAGTATCACCAACCTAAGAAAATTGCATATTATCAACAGCCATAACACGCCGTCAAATTCAATAAGTAACGAAAAAAAAACTTAATAATTAATCGCCAAGACTAGAGGCAGGAGTACAAACAAATAAGATAGGGTAAGGCAAAAAGCTTCTGTAATGATGAAGTTTCTCAGTTCGCCATGGATGATTAAATTTCAAACACATGGAAAACGCATTGCAGTTTTATTTGTTCTGTGCCGACGTATTTTGTCTCATAAAAATACGCGGCAAACATAGAAACTATGTAATCCTGTCTCTAGTCTTCGTGTAATTAATATAATAGTACATTATGGACCAGGCGAAGAAAACTTATGTTATAGCCTAGCATACATTTTACTACCGAGGCGCTAGTCTATTCATAAAGAAAAAAATATTCCGATTTTTGAGGTCTGCAGGCCGAAATGTATAACAATTAAATGTTTTTTTTTATTTATTTCTAAACTAGTGTTACATTAATGTGTTACAGTTATGAAATACTAATAATGCAATACTGAACAAGTGACCTCACCTGGCTGTGAAATAATTTATTTTAAAAGAATTTCATTTCTTTGAATTTTGAACTAATATAAGTTCAAAATTCAAAGAAATGAAATTTTGTCAAAAACTTGAGCTAAATTTATGCGATTTTCTGAGTACGAGGTAGATAAATCCGAGAGTAATACTAGACCAGCTGGGTTGGGTCACGGTTGGGTGTTTCTGGAAAGATAATATTATATAGGTATGTCCATATTTTTTCTAAAGTAAAGCCGGCGATGCAATAACTTTAACGTAAAATCGGTACAGATTGAGGATTCGTAAATTATCATGGAACGAATTGAATAATATAGGCTTTTAACAAATGTGGTTTAAACAAAATTTTGCCTTTTCACACGCCCATCTTTTGCGGAAATGGTTCTTAAAATATATTAATATATATTTAATATTTATGGATAATGATGAACAAGGACTGAATTTTTTAATCTCTTCTTTAATCTATTCTATTTTTGTCCTAGCTAATCTTCCAGTGCCGCCATAATTTAGTCAACTTATGTATGTTATCATTTATACAATTCTTTCTTTTTTCTGTTTTAATTCTTCCATCTTGATTTATTTTTCTTGTCTAGCATTTTCTCATTTTTTTAAATTTCTTTTCCATTCTTAAGCGTCATCTTTTCCTTTTTGTTATTTCTTTTGTTTCTTTTGCTCCTCTAGTCTACACAAGTTAAAGCATTCAAGATATTTAAAATATTATTAATACAGCAGAAATATTGCTGCAGTTATGCGAAAAATTCATTCAAATTTTGTCAAAAGAATGATATTCCAATCAAAGATCCATAAGATCACTTCATAGTTTTCTAAGGAACAACAATATCTGAGTTATTAATTTGTTTAATTTTAAATTTTAACGTTCTCCTAACATACTTAAAAAGTTATATTTTTAGATTGGTCATTCGTTGGTGACATTAAGATTGACCAGAGGTCTTTCATCTTCTTACAAAAATATACCTGCTGAAGCCTTTAAGGTTTTGGTGAATTTAGAAAATTTGGATTTAAGTAATAATAGAATTAAAACAATGCAAGATACTGCATTTCACTTTTTAAAGAAACTTAAAACGTTGGAGCTACAAGACAATATCATCGAAATAGTATCAAAAGGAACATTTCAGGCAATAAAACATACATGTAGTGAAATATAATATCTAAAATAAAATATTTTTTTAGGGAGATATACACCAGAACCTTGAGGAAATTTATCTGTCATTTAACAATATTAAAGTACTTCAACAGCACACTTTTGTTGATTTAGCTCGATTAGAGCAGCTCCATTTGGATGACAATAGCATTGAGACTTTGGATCGTCGATCCTTCATGAACTTGGAAAGATTAAAAAGATTGAATCTAAAGGGTAATAAAATTGCCAGTATAACTTACGAGGCATTCCAGAATTTACCAGAATTGGAGGACTTGGATATATCTTATAACAAACTTACAAACTTTGAATTTGCTATGTTTGATCAGGTGGGAACTCTAGCTGTATTCCACGTAAATGTTAGTCATAATAACTTAAGAGATTTGACTGTTAATATTGGAAGCACTTTTGAGGCAAATTCAGGTTAGTTTGATTTAAATTTTGCGTATGTCACAGCGCACAACATTAACAATTACGATTAGGTGTAAGTATTATTTTGCTTTCCTAAAATCAGTTTGTAATATTTGCGAAGGTCTCGGCACTGTGCATTCCAACATCAGGGTACTGGATCTCTCCTTTAATAATATTTCAATGATTTCAAAGCAGTTTTTCCGACCTATTGAAATTTCCATAACCCATCTTTACATGGGTCACAATAAGCTTCTTAATGCTACTAGAGAAGTATTTGGTAATATGCCTCATCTGCAATGGTTGGATCTTTCTTCCAATGAATTATACGAAATGGATTTTGATATGTTTAGAAATACTAAAAAGTTACAGGTCAGTTGTTAACATTGATTTAAATAATACCTTTAAAATTTTATTTATTTTGTAGGTGCTTTTTGCAGCCTATAATCGCATAGCGGACATTCCAAATGATTTATTTAGGTTTCTTAATAATTTAAGGATAGTGGACTTTTCTAATAACAGGTTAAGAAATTTACCTGATAATTTATTTAGGGAGGAAGGATTGGAAAGATTCGACATATCCCATAATATGCTAAGCAAACTACCACTTACAAGTTTTTCAATTGCAACAGCCATCTCTTTAAGAGAAATGGATTTATCTTGGAACAGTATTTCCTCTTTGTCACATGGAGGAGTTTTTGAACGATTTAAAGTATTTTGAATGTCGAATTTTTTTTACCTTTTATTATAAAATGTTTTTTAGAATTTAAATTGGTTGGACCTATCATATAATCGTCTAGCTCAAATAGACGCTGGAACTTTTAAAGGGCTTCCAAAATTATCGAGCCTGGATTTAAGTCACAATGCTCAATTGGCATTAGAGGGAAATGGATTAAGTTTGCAGGGGCTTGAATATTCCCTTCTTCATCTTTACCTAGACAACGTATCATTGTCACATGTAAATAACTCAATTAATTAAAAAACTAAATTAATTTAACATCTTATAGATACCGGTACTACCAACACCTCATCTAGTAACCTTATCGTTAGCTTTTAATTCTTTGCCAACTGTTCCACCGGAAATGGCAACAAACATGACGTCGCTGCAAAACTTAAATCTAAATTACAACGATTTAACTGCTGTTCCCATAGTAACGCATTCTTTAAATCAGCTTAGGACTCTTTCGATGGTTGCTAATCCAATAACATTTTTGAGCAATACAAGCTTATTGGGTGTAGCAGGACACTTAATTAATTTGGACATCAGGAACTTTGATTTGACAATATTAGAAGTATTGTTCAATACCGGGGGTTTTGGTAAGACAAATCAGTGGATTTTTAAAACAAGAAAAAAGATGGAGTAGGATTTTTGATTAAAAGTTCGTATTCAAAATCATATTGAAGGCCTAGAAATTTTTATATATAATAGTCTTAGATATCACCTGATTTGTCTAAATTGAAACACCGTGTAAATAAAATACTTACGATTTTGTTTTAGTCTGGAGCTTTTTGCAAGATGTACTCCTTAAGAACACTAAAGATAAACTTGTATAGCAACATTAAAAATTTTAATATTCCATCGTATTTGCAGTTTAATAGTGGATTACGTAATTTGGAAATACATGTAATATTAATAGTAACTTTTATTGTCATAATAATTTATTGTATACCAATTTAAGGTTCCCATGGCTACAGACAACAATTTGGATAAAGAGTTAAATGGAGAATGGCCTACAAAATTGAGAAATATTACATTTTCTGGTAGAGGATTAAAAAATCTTGGACAACATATTTTGCAGGTAATACATTGTATGATTCAAAGTTTATATATTTTATTTATATTTAACTTTTTTAGGGTATAAAAAGTCCAAATCTGCACTTTGCTCTTGTCAACAGTAGCATATCAAAAATTCAAAGCGCCATTTTTCAAAATGCTGCCAGAGCCAAAAATATAACGTTAGAATTAAGAGACAATTATGAGTTAAAAAGTTTTTTAAACCCTTCCACTGGTATGAAGCCTAATCTTTATAAAAAAACGTTTTTGATTGACATGGACTTATCCAATAACAAATGGTCGTGTGATTGTGACCTGGGGTAAAATATTTTTTATTATTAACACGTTTTTATAAACTCACGTTTTTGTCTGTCTGTCGGGTCGGTACAAATTTTTTAATCGATTTAAAACTAACTTCTCGATGATCTAGAGACTTAAAGCTTTAAACATAGCTCAGAACTGGATGATAAAGCACAATAATTATTATTATTAGGTGAGTGATGTCATTCTATATCCAAAATAGCGGCCGCCTCAATATGGCGGAACTAAACTTTAAAACTAAATACTTTTTTACTTAAAAATAAATTAATTTATAATTAATTAATAGTTAAAAAACAAAAAACAGGTTTGAAGTCACTAAAAATTATAAAATACTTTAATTTAGTGTTAATAATTATGTGCTTTTAATATGACTATGCCAAAGAGTAGGGGGCGCTTTTTGGTTACGTTTCTTTGCATGTTATTTCGTGTGAAAAGTGACAGGTCTGTGTGAAAAGAAATTGACAGCGTCGTTTGACATTCAGACGTACAACAGCTTAATTTCTTCGAATTTGCTTAATTTCATTAAAATTTGTATATTTTTGTCGATTTTTAGGCAATTGGCTTGAAAAGGTAAGTTTATTGATTTTAAGTAACTTAAACCTTAAAAATTAAAAGAATAAGATTAAAGTAATTTTAACAGCTGTCAAACACGATTTAGGTTATTTTGTTTTGTATTTGAAAATAATAAAAAATAAAAGGATCGTAGAAAAAACATTGTATTTCACTTGTGAGAAAAGCTTTCTTCAAGCTCATGTTAATGCACACTAGGCCTAACGGCCTCATGAGCAACTTGTGAAACTCCTTATGCTTGTGCGTAAATTGCTACTTACAACTCTTATTATATAAACTACTACTATAATTTTTAGTGCGATATCGTGTTTTTTAGTTTTTTCTTTGGATATTTAGATAAGTTAAATTTATTTATGCTAAAAGAGCACTTATGCTCTTTTATTTCAATAATTCTTAAAATGTAAGAAATGATAAAACAAATTTTATGTATAAAATTATAAAGAAATTAAACAGATTTCGTGGAAAAATTTACTTTCTGATATGACATGAACTAAAATATAGCAAAATAATATGTTTTACAGCGCGTCAAAAAATCTTTGAAAATTTTTATTATGGTACGTGGTTTAGAAGATTTTCGGCCCGTGGTATTTTTATATCTATAGATTTATATATCTTACAACTTTTTAATCCTTTAGTTTTATACTTTTTAACCAAAAGTCTTTAATTATATTTTAGATGGATTGAAGTATGGCTAAGAAAAAAGAGACAATATTTATGCGGAGAAAGTCCTAGCAGTACGCCATATTTTACACACAAGGATTACATTTGCAGACATGCTGATGAAGATTTAAGGATATCAAATTGCAATAATAAAAACAACAACAGTATTATGGAGGTCTTGAAAACGGATATTGAATGCGGATGGAGCTCAGCTATAAGACCGAAATATTTTTCAATTGGATTAATTTTGTTTTTGGTGTTGCATGTAATTTTTAAATAAAGTTGTAATGCAAGTGGAACATTTAAAACTGCCGTAATAACTCACTCGCTATGAAAATTTGTAGCCAGATTTATTGCCAAATTTACATTCTTAATTTATTTTTGGAATATCCTACTCTCGTTAGGTACAAGTAATATTTAAAACAATTTTGTATCATATTGATATGTATACATGCATTTATTTATTTAAAATTTAATAACTTAATTATATTAACTATTTATTCTACTGTGTATATACAAAAACACTCTTTATTTTTTCAATTAATTTTATTTTAGTTACTAATACAATTTACAGTCCCTGAGTAACTTAAATTCAACGTAAACGTAAAAATTATGTACATATTTATACAACTTAAATTACATATTAACCATTAATGATATTACTTAAATATCAATCACATACAAATAACTCTACATAGTGCTTATATTAAGGAATTTCTTTTACGAAAAAGTATAATTTACATATTAAATAGCAAAATATTTAAAATTCTTTGCAGGGTAAATTTTTATAATTGATTTTGCTAGTTAATATGCAAGTACTTAATCTATAACGTATGTATACATTTAAGTTAATCTCTTGTTTTTATTACATAAATAACTTTTATTGTATATTTTAAATAAGATAAATAAATATATTAATGATTTATTAGTTATTTACATAGCATGCTTTTAATACCAAACAGACCACCAATTTTTTTTATTGAGATCCTGGGAATTACATTTCTCATAGCGCATAGGCTAATTACACTACTCAACAAAAATGCGATTAAAATATAGTTTAACATCCAGACCTATTTTTTTACTGTATCATGTTTTTTATCTAAAAAGCATTTGGTTACTATAAAGCCCATAACTTGGTAATTTAAGTGCCCTAAATTAAAATCTACAAATTATTATTTTTGTAAAATCAGATTTTGTTTGCACCAGTTCAGTGTTATAATAATTATTGACATTTAAATATCTGAGGTTTATTGATTTCTTGGTCATAAAACACAGATTAAATTTTATTTTGGATATGAGAACTTTTAGTTGTAGACATATTAGCTTAGATTTAAAAATTGAGTAAAACGGTAATTTTTATCAATACTGAATAATGGATATAAATCTACTTAAAAACTGCCTCATTATTAAGCAATTAAAAAAATATCTAATTGCAGCTCACCAATTTTTGAGTTTTATAAAAATTGCTTACTTTACTTAACACATTCACTGCCCAAAACGCGCGTGGCGCGTTTACTAGTACTGCGGCCATATGCCCACACCGCGCTAGGCGCGTTTTTAATAATAAATAACATTATTATACAAGATTTTCCCATTTTATTAACAAGAACGTTTATACCTAGGCGTTTATAGGCACTGAACATGGTTTATCACTCAACCACGCACCTGGAGCGTTTTTTGGTTTTTTCAAAAAATAAAATTGAAAACCTATACTAGAATTTATTTGAAACAAGATGCACTTATTTAAATTAAAAAATATGAAGAAAAACTTAGGTGGTACCTGAAGCAATACACTGTTCAAAATTTTAGCTAATTTTTACCTAAAATATTAGACTATATAGGACCATTGATTTTTTAAGGCAAACTGCCTGAAATGAATTCAGAGGAATATTCCCCTTTTAAATTAGTGAATTCTTTAACTGATATTTTTAAAGAAAATGATACAATTAATTAAGCAAAATTACTTAGGTTTCAAAGATGATACACCTTAGATCGTAAGGGATATTGCCTGAGAATAAAAGAATAAATTTCCTGTTTCTAAGGCAATTTGCTTAAATTTTTAGGTAGATTATATATATTTTTAGTGAAAATCCTCTTATTTTTCACGGTAAATTTATCTAATTTTTTTAGATATACCCTTTTTTCGGGTAATTTTCTACCAATTTTTTAGTAAAATTCTACTAACTTTCTAGTAAAATTTTACTTATTTTATAGTGAAATTCTACTATTTCATTAAATAAAAATGTAAGGGGAACAAGAATTGGCGGTGGGGGCATTTAGGAGAGAAGATATTTATAATGTCATTTTTATTCTCACGCATTGCTTTGATAATATACTATTTTGGAAATATACTATTGTAAATGTTAAATATTATTGTAAAAAGTTACCGATAACCTAGTAGTGTTTATCCCTATATCGAGCAATGTAAATGAGAAAAGAATGACATTATAAATTCCCCTTTTAAGTGCTGATGGGTAAAATAAAAAATACATTTATTTTAGTTAAATTGAAAATGTATATTAATAAATATGTATAAATAAAAAAAATAAAAGTAACAAAAACGACAATAAAACTTAAAGGTATACCTACTTTATAAGTTTAATAAAGTTTCTTTTGGCATAGGAATTTTCTTCCAAGTTAGGACTCCTTTATCTTTCTGTCCTAGAAAATTAACAACGGCGGTTCCGGTACTACAGGGTTGGGATTATTTAAAAATAAATTGGGGTCAATGGAAAATTCCATTAAGTTTGGATTACTTAACTATAACACTTCAAAATGTTCACTTATAGCACAATATTTGTTAACTGTTGTTATATCAATAGCACACAACGCGGTCTTTACGTTTTCGTTGATTTTGGCATTCTGGTGGACAATATAGGCGCGAATATTTATCGTAAAACGTCGGTATTAGCGATCGTGGCCGATTGTAAGTAAGTCACTAATATTTAAAGGAATTTACCTAAATTAGTTCAATAATTTGCCATAATAACTTAGAAGAATTACCTAAATTAAAAGCAAAATTGTCGTACCTAAAAGTCATTGAGATTTTGACTAAATATTTAGGTAATCTGCCTATCTTTTTAAATTTGAAAGGTTTATTAAGTAAAGTATGAATATTTATCTAGAAGTTAGTGAATACACCATATAACAAAGGCATTAGTTTCTGCCTAATAAACGAGAAGGTAAATTGCTTTACTCGTTTAAGCATATTACCTTATTTTTTCTTAACTAATTCTGATTAGGTATTTCAAAAGGCTTGATTTTGAACAGTGTACTCTTTTTTGGGGTGGGCAGTGAATGTGTTAATATACCTAGGTAATTGAGCTTCTCTTAATAGCTTCTAAAAGCAAATAATACAGAGTAACTGATAGGAATTATAAATCGGACATTTGATTACATCTTTAATTGAAATACTCGTACAAAAACATAAAACTAGAAAAACTAGAGAACTAGATAAATGAATTTAAGTATCCCGGCGCATTCGCCAAAAATTAAAGTACAATTGAAAGGGCCAATAATAAAAATAATATGACAGGCAAATAGCTACCTTTACTGAATATAGATTATATTACTTTATTTATGATCAGGTAAAAATAATTCTATTTTCTCTGAAACTTTTAAACTTTAGCTTTAATCGCATCTTCATAGGGTAGCGTAATTACCAAACCAAAAACAAAAAGCCTTAGTTTGACCAACTTCCACTATTTCTTTGGCGATAATACATTTCTTCTTTTATCCTATAAATTACATTTTATAGTCAACATGCATTATTTAGTTAGATTCTCGGCTGTTTTCATTGCTGCCAACCATCGAATCTCCTGTAAGCAAGTTTGTGGTGTTCGGAGAGTTACTATTACTTCCTGTATTATTAATAATCGGTTCCGGTGGAATAAGTCCTTCCTTCATACGTTTTTTCTGCTTCATTCTTCTATTTTGAAACCAAATTTTAACCTGCGTCTCATTTAGCTGCAAAGCTGAAGCTATTTCGATCCTTCTCGCTCTCGTCAAGTATTTGTTGAAGTGAAACTCTTTCTCCAACTCTGTTAGTTGTTTGTTTGTAAAGTTGGTTCTTCCAGTGTTTAGGCAATTGAGGCTTAGAAGACTGGAAGTATTGGAACCAAGACAAGAGTTTCTTGAAGCTGGATTTTGTTGTTCTAAATTTACTAAGCTGGTACCACTAGGTGTGCTAAAGTCGTTTAGTGTTGGTGGAGGGATTTTAGAAGCTGAAAATAAAAGAAAACCTAAAATTAATTTTTTAATCAAAGTTAAGATTTTTAATAAAAAACACTTTATTATATCAGTATATACTTTAAAAAGATATATTAAATTAACAAGTTTAAATGTAAGTGTCTAAAAGTACATGGTTAAATGAGACATACGGTCTGCGTTTTCAGCCCCTATGGACAGCAGACAGTAAGGGAAGATGAATTACTGGGCGAGATTCAATTAGCCAAGGATGTGAGAAAGACTCCAATGAGCTAATAACAATGCTCATCTGTCTTCGTTCATTAGATTTCGTCGGGGTTTTTCTGTGAATTATTGTTTTGTAATTTTAATACTATAAGGCTTTTATACTAATACAAGTTAATGAAAGAAAATAAACAAAATACTAGAACCAACAGCCCATAATTAAATAATACGGTTTAAAACATACTTGTATAAGAAAAATGAGTCTAATATAATAAATTATTATGTAACATTATTAATATAATATATTATATATATTATATCAAGTTAATTTCAAAATTTAAAAAATAAGTTTAAGGGACTTTTTGGAATACAATGTGTTTAAATTAGTGATGCAACGGTTCCGGGTTTTACGGTTACGGTTACGATTACGGTTATCTCTACGGTTACGAATACATTCACGGTTATTCAAAAAAAATGCAGAATTAAGAAAATAATAATTTATGTAAAAAAAAATTAAATGAGTAACATTTTAAACCTAAAAATAGTAAAAACTAAGTAGGTACCTGAATAATATATTTAAAAAAACAAAAAAGTCAAAAGTTAATATTCAAAATTTACGGCAGTCAATTTTTGTATACAAAGCATCGTCAGTGAATTCGGAGAGGTTGTTTTCGACTGCAGGTCTTGTGCAAAACCCGCAGAATTTGCAGATGTTATGTTTTTTTAAGAAAAAATTTACTGCCGTAAATTTTGAATATTGACTTTTGACTTTTTTATTTTTTTAAATATATTATATAATACATAATATGTAATATAATATATATTATACATAATAAATACGTTAGTGCCAACAATCTCAAAAGCGGAAACGTATTCGATGAAAAACCGTAAATACCGTATACGGTTACGGTTAACCGTATAATATCAAAAACCGTGAATTAACCGTAACTGTAACCGTAACCGTTGCAACACTAGTTTAAATATTTATTATAATTTACTTGTTCAATTTAGGTGTTGTAGACAGAGTGACATTTTTACTAGTCTGGATGGGAAGTATAGGGTCAATGATTACAGAATAGGGTCTTAGATTTTTTTTTTAATTATTGTTAGACACCTAAATTAGCACAGAAAATTATTTGTTCCCTCCCCCCTTTAATGTGTGTTTTTGAGGGAATTCAAAGTTCGGGATTTACCGTTTAGCAGGCTTTCTTATCATATCATATTTCTTGACCTGAAGCATTTTTAAATAATTTTAAAGAATTTTTGTATTCATCACAAGATCCGTATTGTTTTTAAAAATTATTTTTCACAAAATTACTTTGCCCGAAGTGACAAAAAAATTATCTGTAAACGCGAAAGTTGACTTATTTAATTGGACTTCTCTAATTATCTGAATTTTCGTTTATGCGTTAACTTCACTACGCTTCGTTTAATGTCATGAAAAATAGTGTACATATATCGTGGCGAAAATAGGCTATTTCTTAAGACTGTTGATAACACTCGAAATGTACTAAACTGCTCGTCATAAAAATCGACGCACCTAGTTTTTTGGAAAATATTTGAAAGCTCGTTATTAGAAAATTACTGAATCGAATTTTCGTTTATGCGTTAACTTCACTATGCTTCGTTTAATGTCATGAAAAATAGTGTACATTTATCGTGGCAAAAATAGGCTATTTCTTAAGACTGTTGATAACACTCGAAATGTACTAAACTGCTCGTCATAAAAATCGACGCACCTAGTTTTTTGGAAAATATTTGAAATCTCGTTATTAGAAAATTATTGAATCGAATTTGAAAATCTTTGGAAATTCTGAATAGCTGATTCTTTGACCCTTATGTCTAATTTTGGGAATACGATATTTTGCACATAGCATTATACTACAGGGTGTTAAACGAAGAGATGTATTTTTTCCGAAATTTCAAGTTATTCCCATTCATGAGGCAGTTGAGTTTGATAGTCGTAATACCCCTCCCTAATATAATAAAGGTAATCCCCCGGAAAGTTTTCTAGATTTTGTAAATATCACGTCTTACTACGATTATATGCCAGTTTTTCGAAAAGTGTCGTTATTTCCCAGTTTAGTCAAAAAAATGAGCAATAGTGGATTCTTTGACTTACGTCTAATTTTGAGAATACGATATTGTGCACATAGCATTATACTACAGATGTTTTTTTCCAAAATTACAAATCCCCATTCACAGGGCAGTTGAGCTTGATAGTCCTAATACTCCTCCCTAATACCAGTTAGGTAAGCTTTATTATTATATACATTATATGTACATTATGGTAAAATATTCTGTTTTATGGACGGTTTTTGAATATAGTACCTACAGATACACAAAAATACAATTGATCTAAGTGGATATGATTATATCACATGGAATAGGTACTATAAATTTGTAAAAATAAAGAAATAATGATTTTCATCTAAATTGTCAAAAATGGCGAATGCGCCGGGATGAAAAATAAATAATAAATTGCCTTTTCAAGTAAAAACTAAAAGTACTAAAAAAGGTAAAGAATATTTCAATAACGTGTACAATGAACTTTTTATAGACGGTGGTACCTGATCGACTAATTTTGTAATTTTATTGAACGCGTTTTTTAGCCATTTTCGAAAACATCTGGATAAGTCTTTAAACGTGCCGAGTGTTCATGTTACCCCGAATTATAACGCATATGCATGTATAGATTATAATACATTTTTTTATTTAATTAATGTATTAAAATTTATATATTTTTTAAAGAAACGTATATTTAAACAAATAAAAGTTGGCGTAAGGTTTGGACCCCGGGGTTCTTTGATACGTTTTGACAATTTTTTGAGTTAGTTTTACACCTGTAAGAAAATAAATTACCATCGGTTACAAATATAGTAACATACGTATAAAGGAAGCTTAGGCAAAAAAGTCATCCCATGTATAAGTGGCCCCGCGGCGTTCAAGTAGCCCCGTTTTACAGTAGGTATATAATATTATGCATTGGAGACTACATTTTATTTTTAAAAGGTAATACATAATATAATTTAAGATATTTTTATGGTATAAGAGTTAACAATCAATTTGGTACAAGTTGTTAGACTAGTTTTTAGTCACGGGCTGAAGTTAGTTTTAAGTTAGTTGACAGTTGTCAAATGTCATACAATCGTTAAAATAAAGTGCCTTTCTTGTAAAATAATACTAAATGTAAAAATTATTTTATTATCTCAATACAAAAATACAAAAGTATTAAATAGTTTCTCAACGCCAATATTTGAAAAGTTTATATGAACATTGTACTGACCTTTTAATTTCGCCGGCAGTAAACTATAACTTAAAATCGGGCACGGACTCCACTGTAAAGTGCTCATAAAACATTTTCTTTACTTTCACTGTGAAAAACTGTCAATTTTCAAGAAATACATTTCGATTTATAACCTTTATAATCTGTGTTTAAAATTTAAATTTTAAAAATTTTACATTTGACGGTGACACACAGATTATCATATTGTTTCATAGATGGCCTCTATACAAATTTTTGATTTAAATCATTTTAAGATAATAATAAGTATTTGTCGTAGAAAAAGTATAGTATGCACCTCGTTTATAAACTTTTCTAAACACTCATTAATTTAAGCACTCGCTCGCAAGCTCGCTCGTGCCTAAATTAAATTCGTGTATAAAATGCCGTTTATCAAACTTAATACATAATATACTATTAAAATATTGTCGCCAAGAAATTATTTAATAGTTTTGTATTTTTGTATTGAGATAATAAAATAATTTTCACATTTAGTATTATTTTACAAGAAGTGCACTTTATTTTAAAGATTGCATGACATTTGACAACTGTCAACTAACATAAAACTAACTTCAGCCCGTGACCAAAAACCTGTTTCTACCTTCAGCCTGTGACTAAAGCGCCATAAAGCCACAGCTTGTCAATGTGAATTTAAAAGGTCACTTAGTGTCATGGAAAAATGTACGATAATGGGCGTTTTAAAGGTGGGAGTAGAAAAAGACATTTTAGTAACGAAAATATAAACGTATTAATATTAAATTGTACTTTCGTTTGAAAAAATTTGAGAAAATGGCAAAACACAAGCAAAGGGATTTCACGAATATTGCTTTAAATGTATTCCTTCAATAGTTATATTATACCAATATAGTCTACAATTGTTTAAAAAAACACCGTTGAATCTGACCTCCACATGGGTCATTTATGTTTGTGTTTATGTAAATAATATTTTTACAAAATTTACATTTTTGACTTATATCTTTAGTGCTGATATTTCTTTCTGGGATGGTTTATTGAATGAGAAATACAGTCTGTAGTATCGGAAACGGTGCCATGTCAGTTCTACACACGCACTTCAAATAGGAAATCTAAAAAATACACGCTTTAGCAGCATAAAACTCTGAGTTGGATTTCTTATTAAATAAACTATTCCAGAAAAAAAATACCCTTTACAGTAAAAAAATATTTATTAATTTTAACCAAATATTAACTAGACTTTATGTTAATCCTGGTCCACGTAACTTTATGTTAAGTTTACAACCAACTGTAATCTGTTAATTAATTGAATAGTAGTAGTTTGTAATTATAACAAACATTTTTAGATTTAATAACAAAATCCTATGTCAATAATTCAACCATAATTATTGAAATTTTCAAAAGGGACTTTGTTTTTACAAACCTTTTTGTAGACACAGTAACAAAAGTATTTGTTGGAAATTGGGAACTTAAATAAAAAGAATTTTGATAGAGATTAATTAATTTCCCAAACAAAAAAATTAACACATCTACATAAATGAACACAAACATAACATA